TTTTTGGAAGCAAATATTACAAAACTTTTGCGCCCCAAAATACAGATTAATTTTAAGAAGCTGTCATATACAGCTATTGAATTACAATTTAAGTCACCCAAAAAAATTCCCATTTCTGACAAACAAGATGTGTGTCAGTTTTAAGAGCATTCTTTAATTTAGACATTGTTAAGGCCTGTTGTCATTCTAACAGTTCTATTTTTAAAATTCCAAATATTCATTAGACTCTGCAAATGTAAATGAAAGGAACATAGGTAAACCCACATGAGATTATTGCAATAAATTGCTACAAAGCCTCTTAAACCTCTGTGTTTTGTTCAGTTTATTCAAAGAACTATGCATATTTCAATGTATAAAGTGTTTAGGTTATGCAAATATGTACAAAAAAAAAAAAAACTTGCAAGCTTGTGAAACAAATCTATCATTTAGGTGTTTTTGACTTCAAACTGTGGCATCTGGCTGAAAGTGAAAAAGTGGTCTGGTGTGAATCAGGAGAGAAATCTGCACAGATCAAGCATCGTTTACAAGCCAAAAGAGGCAACAGGACATGCACATTTTCACTGGAGGAAGCATTATTATGGATTTTGGACTATTTTGGCCATGTCGCTTTTCACTTCACAAAATGTTAACTGATGGACTGGAGTGGATTACTTGTGGATAATTCTGATGTTTTTATCAGCTGTTTGGACTCTCATTCTGACGGCACCCATTCACTGCAGAGCATCCATTGCTGAGACACTGATGCAATGCTACATTTCTCCAAATCTGATGAAGAAACAAACTCATTTGGATGGCCTGACAGTGAGTAAATGTTCAGCAAATTGTATTTTTGGGTGAACTATTCCCTTAAAGGGGAGGTCTTATCTACAAACTAAAATTTATATACTAAAACCGTATACAAACAAAATGTTGTTGTGGAACATTTAGTCAATATATTATCATTCTGTTTTATGGGCTAATCATGCAGAAACGTCTGTCAAGACAATGCAAATGATGCATGCTCATTGTAAATAACGCATGCGACACTGATTGGCACCATTTAATAATTTAAGACATTTCACTGGATACAGGCAACTTTAGACCTTAAACGTATACTTTACAGACAGCATGTCTTATGCATGAGCTGATGCTTTTTTAAAAGGACTTGAATTATATGCTGTCTGGTAAAGCCTTGTTGATGGAAGAGACACAATGCAGGTGTTTTGCTTCATGCACATTTGATCTGTTCCAACATGCAAGCAGAACGTATCATTAGGAGTCAGTGAAATGTAGACATACCTGTAGACACTGATGCACTTTTTATCTTCAAGATTTGGAGTGTCGTCATGGTCTTTGTACTTTTTCCTAATTCCTTTTTTTTTAATAACTTAATAAATTAATTTCAATATTTTATACCATTTTTCTGGAGCTTCATGAATAAGCAGTTGAGCCAGTGTCACATTTCAGTTAATTTGCATTGTAGATGACCACATGACACTATGGGTTACCAAAGCTACATGTCATCGGCTAGTCTGCAAGTTGCAGTTGGAACAAGACATCATCAATTATTTAAGCCAGAGTCAGTTTGATTTGTCTCCTGGTGATTACACACACTTCTGTTCAAGCATCTCACAGTTGTTTTCTTTCAGTGTTAAGATAGTATGATATGATGCAAAATTGTATTTGAATGAATGAGTGATCAGATGTAGCATTTTCACCTGCTGGACCATAAAAATCAGGTTAATTTTCTCAGTGCGGGCGAGGATATTACACTCACATGCTTGATTGTGAAAGCAGTGAGGTGCAGGATAAAGCGTTGTATTTAACCAATTCACACTGACTGCTTTGCAGTTGTGTTCAAGACCAAGCTCTTGCACTTATAGGTTTAAACAATAATATTTCTAATAGAAAAATGTACCAAGTGAGAGACAACATCAACAACAACAACAAAAGGAATTTAGAAGCAAAGAAGTAGAGAGTTACACTTTATTTTAAGTTGTTGAACATTGTTACAGTGTAATTATACTTTTAAGCACTGAGTATATTATGTACACATGTACTAACTATATATATTTTTAATGTTTTTGAAAGAAGTCTCTTCTGTTGACCAAGGCTGTATTTATTTGATCAAAAATACAGTAAAAACAGTAAAATTGTGAAATATTACTACAATTTGAAATAGCTGTTTTCTATGTGAATATCTGTTAAACTGTAATTTATTTCTGTGATGCGCAGCTGTATTTTCAGCATCATTACTCCAGTCTTCAGTGTCACATGATCTTCAGAAATCATTATAATATGCTGATTTGCTTCTTAAGAAACATTTCTGATTATTATCAATGTTGAAAACAGTCGTGCTGCACAATATTTCTGTGGAAACCGTGATACATTACAATTCAAACGTTTGGAGTAAGTGAGATAGTAAGAAATTAAATAAATAAATAAATAAGAAATCATTAAATTGATCAGTAGTGATATCAATTGTCAGTAAAGACATTTATAATGCCATAAAGATTTCTACTTCAAATTAATTCTGTTCTTTTGAACTTTCTATTCATCAACGAATCCAGAAAAAAAATGTATCACAGTTTCCACAAAAATATTAAGCAGTGTTTTCAACATTGAAAATAATAAGAACAACAATTAAACACCAATAATAATTAATAATAATTGAGCAGCAAATAAGCAAATGATTTCTGAAGGATCATGTGACCCTGAAGACTGGAGTAATGATGCTGGAAACTCAGCTTTGATCACAGAAATAAATTACAGTTTAACATATACTCACATAGAAAACAGTTATTAGTAAATGACTAATTATTACAATTAGTAATTGTAATAATATTTCACAGTAGTACTGTTTCAATGTATTTTTGATCAAATAAATGTGGTGAGCATACTTTTTTCACAGTTTTCTTATGTGAATCAGATCAGAATATGAATGAAGTAACTGCTTGAAGTGACTGAGGCCGTTGACATGTACAGTATATAAAAGCCTGCGTGGACTAAAACATGTACAATTTGAAATAGTTCAACACACTGCATTGCCATTTCCTCCAAATCTTATGGAAATGTTGTTCTCTGCAGAATGTAGTATAGTTAGATTAGATGTAGCCCATCACTGCAGTGATGAGAGGCATTATGCTCTAGGGCTGCACAATTAATCGAATTTCTAATCGCGATTACAATTACGGATGCCACAATTACGTAATCGTTCAAAACGGCAATTAATCGTTCAAAGTCCACTTATGTTATTCTGCACGCTTAAGATGCGTTTTTTTCTTTCTACATGTTATCTTAAGAGTTTTTCCCATTATTTAAATTTTAGTATAACATTATAATACCATTCATTTTATTTTTTTTTATAATTTAAAGAAGAAACCAATCCGATGTATATTTGAAATTTGAGGCTTAATACTATAGAAAAGCACTAAAGGTTTTTCAGTTACACTCTAAAAACTGCTGGGTTAAATACAACCCAGTGCTGGGTAAAATAGGGACAAACCCAGCAATTGGGTTGTTTTGACCCAGCGGTTGGGTTACTACCCAGAAGGTTGGGTTAAACATTTAGCCCAACCGCTGGGTCAAAACAACCCAATTGCTGGGTTTGTCCCTATTTCACCCAGTGCTGGGTTGTATTTAACCCAGCATTTTTTTTAGAGTGTAGAGTGTTTTCAGCTTGTTTATTTTCATATAAAAATACGGCATGCAGTTGCATCAAACAATGGTATAAACATCATTCAATGTAAATTTTGATAATCATAATTAATAATCGTAATTACAATTTCAAGGGAATAATCGACAATTATGATTTTTGTCATAATCGTGCAGCCCTATTATGCTCACACTCCCTTCAAACTCTGGACATAACATGTTGCTCCTGTAGTTTACAGGCTGGTTTTTACCTGGTTAGCTTATCTAGAGTAGTAGCCTGTCAAAATCCCACGTGATCTCTCTCATCAGGAGCTAGTTCTAGTTACCACTGTCTCGGGTTCAGCACTCATACACTATGCATGGCCATATCACATCTCTCCTGCCCATGCATCTTCAGGCTTAGACCAAACCAGACTCTTTTTGAGTTACTTTTGTGGCCTCTCTGTTTCTGTCGTCCAAATGTCAATAATGAGTTTGTAGGCTATTTCTTTTAAAGACATCTTGGTATCGGAATCGGTGTGTCCTTCCTGCAAACTCCTAGATGTGATTCAGCTGCACTGTATGGTAAGTGTGCAGTATTTCATCAGACTTTGCATACGAGTCTTTCGTTAGGTTTGTGTGTCATGGAAAACCAAACATTGTAACTTAATGACAATGGCTTTCAGATTCGCCTTAACTGTTGTGGTGTTTGGTGTATTAATGAAAGTATTAAACATAATGTGAAATGCAACAGAATAAAAAGTTAATTCATTGTTTTTGTGGAATTAAGGATGTTTCAGTAAGAGGGTACGGTTAAGAAAGTTTCCTTTATCTAAAAATATCTTCCAAGGAGAATATTTTAATATACAGTATAATTACTGTTTAAGGGTAAAAAAACAACCAGCAGTAAAAACTGTTGGTTTGTCTGCACAGAATCCATTATTGTTTTGATTGCATAAAATGGTTAGCTTTAAGCGTACATAGGTGCATGTGTAGTTAATAATAATAACCTATTTCTTTCTTTTTCTTGCTCATTTCCAACATTCAGCATGTTTATTTAAAGGTAATCTATCAGTCGGAGATGTACTTGTCTATTTAGATGATTATACTGCTTATGCAAATTAATCCAGTGTTAATTAAATTCTTCATGTATCTGCTAATTATTGATGGGTTAGGGTAATAAACTTTATTTAATTTATGAAGGCAAATTACTTTTGGATTTCTGGCGGATTGAAATAGAATAAAACAACAGAATATTATAAATACGTTACTGTTATATTTACAGTAAATTGAAATTTTTGTTTTTTACTTTTATTTTTTATTTTCATGTTCAAAAGATTCATATACCCAGAGGATAAATCAAATTCATAACAATGAAGCGTAGCAAGCATCGAGCCTCCAAGGATGATGGCAAAGGTCAAGGTGAAAGATTCTATTAATTGTGTGAAAATGTGTCAATTATTGTGAATTCTTCAACATGTTTATTATAGCATTATATTAATTATTATATATGAATGATTAATACGTTTAAATAATTATGCAATATTACATCATATATCATACTTATATAATAATCTAAAATAATATTTAAAAAAAAACTGTAGTGCTGTCCATAATGACATCATATTTCATATGTGACTTGTGAAGATGAGCCGGCCATCCTGGAGACGGAGGACATGAGGATGCCAGACCCGGACACCATCTCACTCGCATCAGTCACTGCTGTCACAACCAATGTCTCCAATAAGAGGTGACCAGAAATTATAAAGTCCCATGAACCCAAATCCAATTTGATATTCTGCATTACATTTATGTTGTGTTAAATAATAAATGTTCCAACAAACATATATTACTGTATTCTAATAGAGAGTTGATCAACTATTGATCAACTATTTATACTTTTTTTTCATCCAAAAATGTCCTAAATGTTTTAGATCAAAGCCTGACATCAAGATTGAGCCTAGTGCTGGAAGACCAGTGGATTTCCAAGTACGTAGAACAGCATATTGCAATTTTTAACAGAAAGAGTTTTATTTTTGTAAAGAAAACAGAACATGCACATATGTGACCCTGCAGCACAAAAGCAGTCTTAAGTCGCTGGGGTATATTTGTAGCAATAGCCAACAATACATTGTATGGGTCAAAATTATAGATTTTTCTTTTATGCCAAAAATCATTAGGATATTAATTAAGATCATGTTCCATGAAGATATTTTGTAAATTTCCTACCGTAAATATATCAAAACGTAATTTTTGATTAGTAATATGCATTGAACTTCATTTGGACAACTTTAAAGATGAATTTCTCAATATTTAGATTTTTTTGCACCCTCAGATTCCAGATTTTCAAATAGTTGTATCTCGGCCAGATATTGTCCTATCCTAACAAACCATACATCAATGCAAAGCGTATTTATTCAGCTTCCAGATTATGTATAAATCTCAATTTCGGAAAATTGACCCTTATGACTGGTTTTGTGGTCCAGGGTCACATATTTCAAGCTACACATTTCACGCAAAGTTTGTTAAAACAATAGATGTAGTGTAGAAAATGAAGACAGTCAGTATTGTGTTTGTGGTTGGTGGAACATGTTGATAGTTAAAGTGAAGAACTACGCCTGTGGAGCTTCTGCTTACTGTGAACTTCTTGCACCGTACAACACTAAAAATCACAAAACATCTGCTGATTCAAAAACATTGAGCTTAAAGAAAAGTGATATTAGTGAAGAGATAAGATTTTCCAGCATTTGAGACATGCAGATAAATTAATCCTATAGTTTTGTATCATGCAAACATTTTTGTGCCAATTTTGAGCCTGTGAATATTTGAATAACATCCACATACAGTACCACATACCACATTTGTAAATGTGTGTCATGCCCCACTTTCCAGGTCAGTGTCACTGTTATAGAGGCCAGACAGCTGGTGGGTCTGAACATGGATCCAGTGGTGTGTGTAGAAATCGGTGATGACAAAAAATACACCTCAATGAAGGAGTCGACCAACTGCCCTTACTACAATGAGGTATGTTCCTTTTTAATTTAGGATTGTAATATTGTCCTTTTGCAAAGTAATGATCATGACACGTAACTACTCAAAATATATCAAAATAATCACATAATCATCTTAAAGGAGTAGTTCACCCAAAGCTGAAAGTTTGCTGAAGATGTGCTCACTCTCCAAGATTAGGATGAGTTTGTTCTTCATCAGATTTGGAGAAATGTAGCATTGCATCAGTGTCTCAGCAATGGATGCTCTGCAGTGAATGGGTGCCGTCAGAATGAGAGTCCAAACAGCTGATAAAAACATCACAATAATCCACACGTCTCCAGTCCATCAGTTAACATCTGGAGAAGACAAAAGCTGCATGTTTGTAATAAAAAAACGGCATCAAGACATTTTTAACTTCAAACCATTGTTTCTGCCTAAATTACAAGTCCATAGCCCATAATAACATTTCCTCCAGTAACAAAGTTGTCTTGTCTGAATCAGGAGAGAAATCTGCACAGATCAAGCACTGTTTACTCCCTGGAGGAAGCACATATAGGCGCTTCGTGGACAAAAGCCCATTCAAATAGGTTGCCATTGGACGCGGATTAGTATTTTTTTTTAACCAGAATGGACTGTTTAAAGTTAAAACATCTTAATGATGGATTTGTTTCTTACAAACATGCAGCTTCTGTCTTCTCAAGACGCTAACTGATGGACTGGAGTGCTGTGGATTACTTGTGGATTATTGTGATGTTTTTATCAGCTGTTTGGACTCTCATTCTGACGGCACCCATTCACTGCAGAGCATCCATTGCTGAGACACTGATGCAATGCTACATTTCTCCAAATCTGATGAAGAAACAAACTCATCCTAATCTTGGATGGCCCGAGGGTGAAGACACTTTCAGAAATGTTTCACTTTCGAGTGAACTACTCCTTTAACACTGCTAATATAATGTTTTGATAAAATCTTTCCTTTTTTTTCAGTACTTTGTTTTTGACTTCCACGTTCCTCCTGATGTCATGTTTGACAAGATCCTGAAAGTGTCTGTAAGTAGCAACAAAAATCAATTTCGATTAGTTCAATCCTGTACTTTTTCATAAAAGATTGTGTTTTTTGTGTGTTTGTCATTAAGCTTTGTTTTAAACTTGTTTTAAATGAATGTGTCTATACAGGTTATCCACTCTAAGAATCTTTTGCGAAGTGGCACGCTGGTCGGGAGCTTCAAGCTTGACGTGGGCACAGTTTATACACAACCTGGTAACTGGTATTATCATGCTTCTCTATCCACCTTGTTTAAAAACACAGAAGTAAGCGATTTTCTGTGAATGTGCGAGACTTCTGCTTCATTAGCCACTATAGATAAATAAATAGAAAAATAACACTACAAACCAGTCTGTTTATGATTATGCTAATAAATTAAAATAATATGATAACAAATACCTGTTTGCAATATAATATTTTACTAGCAAAATAAATAGCAATTAATGACACTGGAAGTTACAAATGGCCACGCCGCTCTTATGTTAAAAATTTCTAGACCATAGATCTCAAAGACCAGAGTTTTTTCATGTTTTTTTTTTTCTTTACATTTACAGAACATCAGTTCTTCCACAAATGGGCCACTTTATGTGACCCCGATGATATCACTGCTGGATGCAAAGGCTATGTCAAGTGTGACATCGCAGTTGTGGCAAAGGGCGACACTATCAAAACTCCACACAAAACAAATGAAACAGACGAGGATGACATTGAGGGGTAAAAAAACAAACAAAAAATCTTCCTACATTGTTAGTTATTTTCCAAGAAAAGCATCACTGTTACTAAACCATACTCCAAACTCAAGTATTCCCAACTTATTTTGAAAGCCCTGTGAAACAAATATTTACTTGTAATAGTATTTAATCAAAATGTGAAATCCGAGATTCTACTTTATTATTTTACCTGTCACACATTATAAATGCTGAGGTCACTCGGATAATTCCATCCAACGATGTATTGAATATTTAAAGGTGATTCTATATGCAGAAACACAAATCTCTTCTTCATTGATTACTTTCTTGTTCCAGTAATCTTCTGTTGCCGGAAGACGTCCCGGCTGAGCGTCAATGGGCAAGATACTATGTGAAAATCTACCGAGCCGAGGGGTTGCCCAAAATGAACACCAGCATAATGGCAAATGTCAAAAAAGCTTTCATTGGAGAAAATAAGGACTTAGTTGATCCGTATGTCCAAGTGCAATTTGCAGGGCAGAAGGTGGGCAGAATTCTTACTGATGGTCAACTAATTTGTTTTAATGGTGTACAGAGTGACCAATATAATGCCTATATATGAAAATATAATATAGTTTAATGATGGAAAGTAAGTTTCATCATTAAACAAAACACATTTTACACAATATTCAAAATTTACAAAATACAATTTTAAAATGCACTATGAAACTGAAGACTCCGGAAGACTTCCGTTCTGTTAAAGACTCCATGAAATGACTGGCGAACACAGTTTTCCTTCCTGTGTTAATGTATTTCCTGTTGAAACAGGAAGTTTGAGTGGCACATATTGAAGACGTTTTATTTTATACCACTATTTTCTGCTTGCTAGTCAGATTTTTACTAGAATTTATTGTAATGCATTTGAACTATTTGCAAATCATATTTTTATTTTAAGACATACATTCACTCTAAGTAATGCCTATCTGCCAAAAAATGTTTATTGTCTCTTAATATTCAATTATGAATTAGATAAATCACTAAATTATATATTTTCCATTCAAAATGGCAATATTGTTGAGTAGTTTGCAGCACTGGATTGCTGTTGGTTGTTTAACATTCATTTTGAAAAACAGTTGTCATACATTAAAGGGATAGTTCACCCAAAAATGAAAATGTGATGTTTATCTGCTTACCCCCAGGGCATCCAAGATGTAGGTGACTTTGTTTCTTCAGTAGAACACAAACAAAGATTTTTAACTCAAACCACTGCAGTCTATCAGTCTTATAATGGCAGTCAATGGGCCCCACGGCTTCGAGAGTAAAAAAAACATACACAGACAAAACCAAATTAAACTGGACTAAATGTATCTGGAGTGGTCGAATAGGGCATCTATACATATCTATGGTAGTAGACGCATGTGCGGAAGCTATCTGTCGCGAGTATACGTCACTCATTATTTACACAGTGCAGAGAGATTGCAGACGTGTTCACTGACACTGCGATGATCTAAAGATATTTAGAAGTACAGGTGTGTCATCACAATGGAAGACGATTTTGATATATCATCAGACAACGTGGAATTTTTTGGCCAACCGTATTTATTTGACGTCACGTGCCGGATGTTGTGAACGCGCTCAGACATTGCCGTGGATCAGAGGTAAAAAAATATATATAAATACTGTTCAGTTTCTTGCACAGTCCGATCATTTCGTGTCTTAAGACCTCAATGTATCGGCACAAGCCGCAGAGTTTAATTTGGTTTTGTCTGTGTATGTTTTTTTTACTCTCGAAGCAGTGGAGCCCATCCACTTACATTATATGACTGACAGACTGCAACGGTTTGAGTTAAAAAATCTTCGTTTGTGTTCTACTGAAGAAACAAAGTCACCTACATCTTGGATGCCCTGGGGGTAAGCAGATAAACATAAAATTTTCATTTTGGGGTGAACTATCCCTTTAAATATTTAACTACAGCTTGTATCTTACCTTTTGACTAAAAAAAAGCACTCTAAAGTTCAACTAATTGCATTTAATATAAATTTAAAATGATTATACTTTTTCATATAATTGTAAATAACAATTATATTGTCCGAAAATATTACATTCAGTTCACACCTTAAGTATATTATTTTAATGTATATGATTTCCTTATTAAGAGGTCCTTTTAAAAGTATGCTAAAGTGTGCTTCTGTTTCAGAAGGGGAGGCATCAATATTTTTGATGCACTGATCTATTTCATCTGTCCACAATGCAGGGTAAAACTTCAATTCAGAAGAGCAGCTATGAGCCGATTTGGAATGAGCAGATCGTTTTCACTGAGCAGTTTCCACCACTGTGCCGGAGAATGAAAGTCCAGATCCGTGATTCGGATAAAGTGAACGATGTGGCCATCGGAACGCACTTCATTGACCTGCGGAAGATTGCTAATGATGGAGACAAAGGTAACAGGGCTTCCTGAACACCTTGGCAAAGTCTGCAAAAGTACTATACTACCGTGCAGAAGTTGGGAATAATTATGATTTATTTTTTAGATTTCTTATGCTCAGCCAGGCATTTATTTGATAACAATACAGTAAAACAGTAATTTTGTGAAATATTATTACAATTTAAAATAATTGTTTTTTATTTGCAGTGTCACATAATCCTTCAGAAATCATTCTAATATGCTGATTTGATTTGCTGCTCAAGAAACATTTCTGATTATTGTCAATGTTGAAAGCAGTTGTGCTGCCGAATAGATAAGATACTTTGATGAATAGAATCAGCATTTTTACTGTCACTTTTGATTAATTTAATGTGTCCTTGCAAAATAAAAGTTTTTTTTTTTTTTTGCTTACCCTAAACTTTTAAACGGTGAATCACAGTTTCTACAAAAATATTGGGCAGCACAACTGTTTTCAACATTGATAATAATAATACATGTGTTTTGAGCAGCAAATCAGCGTATTAGAATGATTTCTGAAGATCATGTGACACTGAAGACTGGAGTAATGATGCTGAAAATTCAGCTGCGCATCACAGAAATAAATTACAGTTTAACAGATATTCACACAGAAAACAGTTATTTTAAATTGTAATAATATTTCGCAATATTGCTGTTTTGCTGTATTTAAGATCAAATAAATGCAAACTTCCTTCAAAAACACACACAAACACAAAAATAATTTCTTATTCCAAATGTTTGACCAGTAGTGTATTTACTTTGTTTCTTGTTGTTTATTACATTTTGCTTTGAATACTCAATCACACAAAGCCGTCACTACATTGCTGTTCAAGATCATTATAGAAACATTTGTAAAAATTCTTATCCGGTAATTACGAACAACTATAAAAGTCATGGAATGATATTGATCAAAAGGACAAAGATTAAAAATGATACTGTTTCTATTGATAGGCTTTCTTCCAACTCTTGGGCCGGCTTGGTCCAACATGTACGGCTCCACACGCAGCTACACACTCATGGACGAGTACCAGGACCTGAATGAAGGAGTAGGGGAAGGGGTGTCTTTCAGGGCCCGGCTGCTGATCAGTCTGGCCGTGGAGATACTGGACACCTCCTCTCCTGAAGTAATGAGCTCCACTGAGGTGCAAGTGGAGGGGATACCCAACATCTCAGATGTAAGCGATCCATAGACGGGGGGGTGCGACAGGCCAATTACAATGAATAATTAATTGTCTTTATTTATCTCCCTACATTATTCATTTAGCAACAATACTCATAGTAGTTCTTTGTCTGCAAGACAATCATCTACACAGTCAGAGCCTAAATTAGGCTTCATTACTTGCTGTTAAAAATTAATCAGTTTGGGAAAACAGAACTGTTTTGAATTGTTTATGAGCACAGTGACATCATTTTCGTCTAATCTTAGGAAAACCCTCATACACTGAAAAAAAAAATGGTGCAGAAACAAATTTCAATCAGAAATTGCTAGTAAATTTCACGATTAATTACACAGAAATGGCAAGTAGTGCATTGGATTAACATGAAATTTTAAAGTAGATAGACTGGAGTGATATTTTCGTGCAAAGCGACCTCTGAAAACCTTTTTATTTACAACAAAGTGTATTCACAAAACATTATTTAATCAATTGTTTGTTGCTTATATCTAGAATGCCACGGGAAAAATTGAAGAGTTCTTTCTCTTTGGATGTTTCCTTGAAGCCACTATGATTGACAGGAAGATTGGAGACAAACCCATCAACTTTGAGGTTACAATAGGTAAAATCTATGGTAGTTATCAGTCTTTAAATTCAGGTCAGAGTTGCTCACCATTCAGAATGCTACTGAATTCTTTCAAACTTTGAAAGAAATGTATATTACTGCTGTGAGTGTACTTTTTAATAATACATTTTCATATTTTAGTATGAATGACACCAGGTCGATATATACAGAATGTATATGGGCAAATTCCTGAAACGCTACAGTAGATGATATTAATAAACAGTGTTTCAAATGCCATTTCACCAATTCAGCCTTCTTATGATATTCAATATGAATTTAAACGCAAACCCCTCTAACTTTCACATGAAAGGACCATTAACTGGCTTTAAAGGAATAGTTGACCCAAAAATAAAAATAAATGCTGAAAATGTGCTCACCCTCAGGCCATCCAAGATTTACTGTAGATGAGTTTGGTTGTTTCATGGAAACAGATTTGGCGAAATGTAGCATTGCATCAGTGTCTCAGCAATGGATGCTCTGCAGTGAATGGGTGCCGTCAGAATGAGAGTCCAAACAGCTGATAAAAGCATCACAATAATCCAAAAATTATCCACACCACTCCAGTCCATCAATTAATGGCTTGTGAAGCCAAAAGCTGCATGTTTGTAAGAAACAAGTCTGCTTTTAACTTCAAACCGTTGCTTCTGGCTAAAATAGCATAATCCATAATAACTCTTCCTCCAGTGAAAAAGTGGTCTGGTCTGAATCAGGAGAGAAATATGCACAGATCATGCACCATTTACAGTCCAAAACAGCTCTAAACAAATATGTGTGTGGATTTTGATGTGAGAGGCAACAGGAGATGCACATTTTCACTGGAGGAAGTGCCAATATGGATTTTGGCTTGAAAGACTGAAATAGTATTTTCTTGTAAAACATACTCCAATAATCTTTCTTTTATCTTACAAATTCAAAACATCATATTTTACAGTGCACAGAAATGATACACTTCATAGAAGTATGAAAGTAATTCCTACTTAAAGATACCTACATCATTAAAATATCCTCTCAAATCAAGGAAACTACGGCAGTGAAGTCGATACCCCAACCAAGCCAAAAACAAAGAAGAAGAAGGGTGGCGATGGAGATGAGGAGTCTGAGCTCATTTACGGCTCCAGTGACGAGGAGGTGGATGATGGTGGAGATATGACATCAGTTTCCACCTCTCCTCCAATGAAGCCAGTCATCACTGACAGGTTCAGTTACTCAACATGACCCAAAACCCATTTATTTATTTTATTTTGCATTTTGGTGCAAAATCATCTGAAATGTCTGGTTTAATTTTCTGCAGAAACTATTTCCACCTCCCGTACTTTGAGAGGAAGCCCTGCATCTATATCAAGAGCTGGTGGCAGGACCAAAGAAGACGACTTTATAATGCTAACATCATGGACAGAATTGCAGATAAATTGGTAATAAATCAATGAATATAGATTATATTAGTTAGTTTCTGAAATACTGAAAAACTTAAGTGTCTATTTTGGATGCTTTCTTTTCACTAGTCAGAAAGAAGTCAAATTATGGAAGGAAATTAGCCCAAAACCTCAAAATTGACCAGTGCATGAAAAAACAAGGGTTTTGTCTGTAGTGTCTCACCTTAAATCCCATTTTTCATCATAGTTTCCATTTAGTAATTGATAAGAATCCTGGTTCCAGTTAACCCTCTGGGGTCTGAGGGGGTTTGTGGGCACTGAAGAAGTTTTGACATGCCCTGACATTTGTGGGGGGGGTTTTCAGTATCTTAAAAACATATTAATGGCTAAAGTCTGATAACACTGTATTCAGCACAAACTGCGCTACAATAATATGTAAGCAGCATGAATGTACATGTTTGTGTTTTTGAGAAAACAATGTTTATGCATGGTTAGTGGAAAACATCTCTAGGTTACGCATGTAACGTCTCGGTTACGTATGTAACCCTCGTTCCCTGATGGAGGGAACGGAGACGTTATGTCGAACGACATATGGGGTCTCACTTGGGAGGCCAATCATCTCTGAGTTTATGAGAAAACGCCAATGAAAATTGGCTAGTGGATTTTGCATGCTGAGCCACTCCCCGTGCCTATGGGTATATAAGGCGACAGCGCGCATCCACTCATCAGGTTTTACGCTGAGGAGCCGAGAACGTGTCCCGGCAACAGCGAATAGTTCAAGGTTGTGGCATGGGGACATTATGTCTCCGTTCCCTCCATCAGGGAACGAGGGTTATGTATGTAACCGAGACGTTCCCTATCTGTCGGTCACTACGAGTTATGTCGAACGACATATGGGGTCCATGGAAAACACCACAACCTGAACACCGTCACAACCCTGTGGCGCTGCAATTGTTGACAAAACAATTGCTAAATTGTCACTACGGAGACCACATCCTACCCGTAGGGAGGTGACATGTGGAGATACTGATATGGACTGACCCAGGGGGCAGTACTACATATGGAATGGGTCTCTGAGGCAGGTCCTACCTTAGAGTAGGAATGGAACAACTGCCAGAAGAGACTGACAGAGCGGGTCTGTCAAGGGAAGACACAGGTTTACCGAGAGGGAAACCTTACCGTGGAAGAATACACATATGGGATTACCCGTAGGGAATCAAGCCATATGGACACCTAGCCCAGTACAGGGGCTGACCGGGACTCCGGG